GTGTGTGTGTGTGTGTGTGTGTGTGTGTGTGTGTGTGTGTGTGTGTGTGTGTGTGTGTGTGTGTGTGTGTGTGAAAGAGCTGAAACAGACCCTCCCCCTGATGCCGTTCCCATGGTGATATCCCATAATGACACAGCGCTGGCTGCTCATTGGCTGTGATGGCCTCCTGCTGCTGTCTGACTGGACCCAGCAGGAACTGTCCGCCTGTTACTGGGCTGTAAGTTTGCAGAGCGACAGTTTCGTTATTGATTCGTGTCCAGATCGCTGAGTCTGATCGATGTTTGTGGCTTCAGTTTGTTCAGGCTCCGGCTTGGATTAACCAGCGTCTGCTGCGACACCAGTTATACTTTACTGACCGAGGTAAAGTCCAGCCTCTCGTCAGTCCAACACGAGCTCCAAGCCAGACCAAACCAGACTAAACTACTATCTGGTGTCCATGAGTGTACAGCTCTCGGTTGGTTTCTGAGTCTCAGCCCTTCGGACGCCTACACCAAGCTGAGGGCAGGTTTCCTCTGCAGCTGACTGAAAACACGTTTCTGTGCTGGAAACAAGTTTTAAACGTGCACTGAGCTGGACGTGTTTTCTTCCTGCTGCATCAGGGTCGACTGCGAGCCGTTAGCCGTGTTGCTCGCCGCCACGGCGTGCCATCAAGCTGAAGGACGGCCTCCCTCTGTGCCCGCCCAGGCTGTGTAATTAACACGGAGCTATCAGGTAAACAGTGAGGACAGCCCGGCAGGCCTCTGATTAAAGGCCTGGGTGGTGCTTCACAGCACCCTGCTGGCCAATAAACACCACTAATGGCGTCAGGATCCCCGCTCGCCCGCCGCCCAGCAGCCCCCGCCTTGGCTAGAGGACAACGAGGACGCCAGTTTATGACAGAAAATCAAGACACTAGAGGAAATGTTACAAAATCAGTTTTTAGCATCAAACTGAAAGTTTGGAAGAAAACACGTTCACCTCGCTCAACAGTTCCAAATGTCAGGGGGCGGAGACAGCCTGGGCTTCGTCGCTTCTTCATTGGTGTTCGGTTATAGTTTAAATACAGATGGAGGTCACCTTCCTCTCCTTTCCTCTCCCTCCCCTTCCTCCCCCAGTCTCTGTTCCACAGGGTTTCTCTGGATCCTCTGGAGAAGGAGTGGCTGAAGAGCTGTGCCGTGGGGAACGTGGCCACCCAGTGCCGGCTGCTCGCTCAGGAGCCCGGGCTCGTGCTAAAGAAGGTCCGCTTCAGGTCTAGTGCTCCTGTGCGGTGCTCTGACGCAGAAGGTGTCATTTAGTGATTAGTAGCTGCTGGATTAAAGCCATCAGTGTTTGTTACACACACAGCGATGCTTGAATAGAGTCTGGTGCATTAGCTGGAGCGCGTGCAGTAGGACTTATAGACGGAGATAGTGAGCACGCCGCTATTCTGATTCATCCTCTAAACACTTGAACTCTTTCCTTTTTCCTTTCCTCTTTTCTCACCTCGTCAGGATTTCATCACCGTAAGTAAAACACTTGCTTACCTGCTCACAGGTCATATTTTCATAGGATGACTGAATTATTTCTGTTTCACACGTGCAGCTCAAAGAGCTTCACGGAGGTGGATTAGAAAACAGAAAGGTCACACGGCCCGGTCTCCCATGGAAATATGTGCATTCACCAACGAGCTGGTGGGTGGTAGCTGGTGTCAGTGGGTGGAACCTGTCACAGAGAGGTTGACCATGCTGCACTGAAAGCCTGTTGCCCGTATCTGTATAGAAGATGCTGACTTGTCTGCTCGAAGTATAGCATAGCATCTTTATTTATAAGGGTTAGGGGTGCTACAAATATAGAACAAAGAGAAAACAGTTTAAATTCCATATAGAATATCTTAAAATTAAAAATAATGTAATTAATAAGAAACATATTAAGAGACATCAACAAGTCCTGCTGTGCTGAAAGCCAAGGTAAATAAATATGTTTTAAGACGTGATTTAAAAACAGATAAGGAAGGTCCTGTCTAACACGTAAAGGCAACTCATTCCACAGTTTTGGTGCTGCCACAGCAAACGCCCGATCCCCTCTGAGCTCACGATTAGTCCTGGGCACGCTCAGGAGGAGCTGGTCTGCCCACCTGAGGGGCCGGGAGGGTATGTGTGGATGAAGAGCTCAGAGAGGTACAGAGGGGCAGCATTGGACAGACATTTAAAAACAAATAAAAGCAGCTTAAAATGATCCTAAAATGCACGGGCAGCCAATGAAGTGAATATAAAACTGGGTGATGTGCTGGCATCTACGAGTGCCAGTCAAAAGACGTGCAGCAGCATTCTGAGCTAGCTGCAGTCGAAGAACAGAAGATCGACTCACCCCATAATGAAGAGAATCACAGTTGCCTTCACAATAAGAACTGCACCTTTGGAAATGTTTTGGTTGCAGTGTAAAAGCACAACCGTTTACGTTGGTGCAACACCGTCTTTGTGACTGATTTCATCTGGTGACAGCCAGCAACAGCAGCCACTGATCTGGTGACACGGTTTTCTCCAGCGACCGGAGGTTTCCAGAGAATCACCGACTGGTCTCTGTCTGACTGAGTTTTCTTTTACTACATCTCACCAAAAACAAGTGAAAACCAACAATTAAACATCAAAACCTGCAGGTCCTCTGATGCCCAGCAGAGGCAGCAGTGCGTCCTCACAGGCAGCTTCCTGCTAAGCTTCGCCTCAGCTCATTGGAGACCATGAACTGACCTCTGGACCCAAACTTTCAAAGCTCCCAGTCTGCCTCCTAACTTTGTTGTGTTGTTTTGGACAGGAACCGCCTTTAATCTGAGGCTCTCTACTGGAAGCAGGAAGTAGGTGTGGCTTTACTTTTGCAGACAGTAATAATTGGTTCATTTAATAATAAGTGTTCCTCTGGTTCCATGCTGCAGCCTGCCGCTCCACCTGAGCTCTGCCGTCACCACGCTGTCAGCAAACGTCGATAAATGGCTTCAGAGCCGGACGCTTTCACAAAACAATTGGCTTAAGGAAATTAAATGTTCAAAGAGCAACAAAGACGTTAGTAATCTGCTTATTGAAAAGAAAGAAAGGGGAGTGCAGCTGAATGAATGGAGGTGGGGGTAATGATCCTATTAGTTTGGATAAGAAGCTGCTGAGAGTCAGGCAGCAGGTGAGGACGAGGATCAGATAAACAGAAGACCGAGGACGGAGGCTTCATGGTTACTGTCTGGACCATCCTGAGTGAACTACGCTGACGTGTGAGAAGAGCTGTAATCATTGTCATGAATAAAGCTGAGCTTATAACAGCTTCACTTAAGCTAACCGAGGAGTCACACTGTAGATTTTTACACAGAAAAAATGATTTTGTTCAATGAAACCTGATCCATGAAGTGTTTAACATACACTGTGGTTATATTCACACTTATATCAATTCTCTTTATGCAGGCGAAACACGTTTGTACCTACAAACTCTTTAATTCTAGTACAAAATGTTTTATTGCAGACTGCCTGCATTCACAAGGTCAGGTAAAAAGCTCTGAACGGTGGAGAAAATGCTCAAAAATAAATAAAAATTCATATAAACGCACAAATGATAACAAAATGAAGCTAGCATGTGGAACGACCGGTAAAACGTTCATCCAGCACAGAGGCTTAGGTGGGACCAACATACGTGGATTTAGGCCCAGAGACCGGTCAGCGACCACATGGTAACCTCCAGTTGCTAGGGAACAATGTGCCCTGGGGAGTGGTTGCTGCAGAACACCTACCTGTTATTGCACCCACTTGTAGTTTGCATGAATTGTCATTTTTGTTTTTGAGCTGTGCTGAAAATAGAAAAAGTGTAATGCAAACTGAAACACAGAAGGTTCACCTTTAAAATAAAACTTTACCGTCTCACCACCAAAACCAGGAGTGAAGGGAGGACAGGACAAAGGCACGCTGTGCAGCCAGAGATTAATAATAACTAATGATTAAATGCAGAGAGGTGTGTAAACACATAGTGACTGACAGGTTTTATTGGCTTTATCTGAGTTAAGAAGCAGAAAGTTAGCAGCCATCCAGGTCTTTATGTCTTTAAGACATTCCTGCAGTTTAACTCATTGGTGTGTGTTATCTGGCTTCATGGACAGATAGAGCTGGGTGTCATCAGCATAGCAGTGTAAATGTATGCTATGTCTTCTAATGATGCTGCCTAAGGGAAGCATGTATAATGTAAACAGAATTGGTCCTAGCACTGAACCCTGTGGAACTCCATAATTAACCTCAGTGTGTGAAGAGGACTCTCCATTTACATGCACAAACTGGAGTCTATTAGATAGATATGATACAAACCACTGCAGTGCAGTAATAAATATAGCAGCACTTCGACTCTTGAATGAGTGAAAGGTCATGACCAATAAATCAATCGACGGGATGTGTTTGTTCCACGTTAGTTTGGACAGTAGTTTAGCAGCCAGCAGCTTTTGTCCCTCCTGTTTTCAGTCCTGCTCTCAGGCTGTTTCACTGTGAATTCATCGGCTTCTGTGTTCTGACTCTTTCCGGCTGCCGCTGACGGCCTCCTGTGATGCAAACCTGCCGTACATGAAGGGGGTGAGTTTGGCTTCGTTAACATGAATCATCTGAACACAACAGAACACCTCTGCCTTCTGCCTCAATTAGCTGAGCGCCCATATCACAGAGAGCAGCTCCCTCACCTCCTGTCTCTCGTCACCACGGCGAGTTTAAACGAGCCGGACGTTCACGCGAGCAGAGGGCGGGGTTAATGTAAAATTCAGTTCATGTAAACTGGCCTCACTCAGATGTCCTGTGTGTTTGTTTGAAATACCTGCAGAAATGCAGCACTGCGCTGCGAGCCGTGCAGCCCTCTCTTCAAAGAGGCTGACAGCTCTGACAGCCTGCCATCAGGTTAATCACAGCAACATGGACAGATTACCGAACACGGCGTGCACAGAGACGCCGAACCACCGCACAGAGACTAAACCCTGCCGAAAGCTAAGAAGCACAAATACAAAGAAACGCAAAACAACGACAAAGAGACAGAAACGGACACAAATATGGAAAAAAAAATTAAAAGTCAGAGATTTTTATCAAACTGATAAAAGGAAGAAACGCAGCAACAACACGGCCTTATCGCATGTGCGTCTTCCTGTCTGTGGTCAGCTCGTTGAGCTGTTTTGTGTCTCGGGGTCTGGAGATTTCGGAGGGCTCAAACACGCCGGCGCCGACTGGCCTTCCGCTGCGCGCCTTGGACGCCGCATCGGGATGGCGGGTCCACGCTCATTAGGCCTCCGTGCGATTGGAGCGGCCCAGCAGCCAGACAGCGGGCGTGTGTAATGATATTGTAATTACATGGTAATTAATATCTGAGCAGACAGCGAGCCTGAAGGGAGGCGGCTCGGCTCCCAGCAGATGGGAGGGACTGATAATTTCTCCACAGCCATTCGCCGGAGCCTCTGTACTTTTATTTGGTGGCGGTTTGATTTCACGGTGCTGAGCGGAGGATCTCGGGAACGGCGAGATTGTCCTTGTTTGTGAGCGGCGCTCCTGCATCGATCTGTGGTTTCCTTTCTTCTCCTGCAGCTCTTTGAGACCCCGTCCCAGCATATGTTCCTCACATTCATTGTTAAGTCAAAGTGTGACTCCACAGCCAATAAAGAGCCGGCTTTTCAGAGCGCCACATATGGCAGAGCTGTTGCAGGCTGTCTTTGAAAACTCTACACAAGCAGAATTTCACACAGCTCTAAGCTGCCTATTCAAGAGCTCCGGCAAAGGGACCCCTCCATATGGCCTCGCCTAATGTGCCCCCCCTTCCATTAGCTGCACAGACCTCCCCGTGCAGAAATAACAACATTAATGGCGTAGCCCTCTCGCCACTTGACAGCGTTGCTCTCCTTTTCATGCCTCGCTTGATCAAAACGGAAGGAGTGAAGCTGACGCCTTTCTGATGTGCTTTTTGCCTGCTGCTTCCAGGCGAGCGGCGCTAACTCATCCCGCGCGTCACTCCTCCACCTCCAAAGGGCCGACAGATGCTCGGCACACCGAGCCCGACTGTTGGCAGGCAGTCGGCGGTTTGTGCCGGGTCACTGTCGGCGCTACCCCCGGATCTGTGCGAGGACAACGGCTGTGAGCGTCTCTCGGAGGCCCGAGTGTCCCGCTGAGGCGGACAGGTGTCTGTCATGTTTGCAAATGTGTAACACGGAGCTTTTGTGGTTCGTTGAGTTGGCCCGTGTTCTAGTTGGCTCGTTAACCATTTAAAGGAACAGAAAATCCCTGCACTGTGCACGATCCAGAGATCCTGCATCCAGCCTGCCGGTCTCTCAGTCTGCCGTGTGTTTGTGAGGATGTGTCCTTGCTCCTGTAGTAGACTGTAAATCAAAGATGTCAGAAAAAACTCATTCAAACTAACAGATTCTGGACTCTAATTCAAGCTGATCGTTATTCAGATGCATCCGTGCTTTCTACTCGTCCGGATCAGTTTGACTCTTTTAATAACACGAGGCCTACGGCTCATCAGAGCATTGCTGTAAATGCAGAATAATCTGCTCTGAGAAGAAAAGCATTCGATGTTTGAGTTTGGAAAAGTAAGTTTTGCCTCTGATTGACTCGAGGAAATGAATAAATGTGTCCTCTGCAGTCTTGAACACCTGCCTGTGTGAGGCTGAGGTGGAGGCACGAACAATCTGGTCGAGTGTTGGAGGAGGCCGGCGGGTGAGGCCGGCTTCAGTTAGCACCTTTTAATGAAAACTCTGGGCTCAGTGGTCAGTCTGCACCTCGCCGCCAACACGGGCACGTCGCCAAAATAAACCTCCATGAAGCATCCTGTGGACACTGACAGGTTTTTCCCCTCCTGTTCCTGTGATGGCGGCGCCCCGCTCGGTTTTCACGCTCACGGTTGTTGGCTGAATGAGGAACATCAGTGCGGCATAATTAAATGGGCGGAAAACAGCAGAAAACGATGTTCAGGCTGTTTAATCCAGTTTAGAGCAGCACCACGAGGGAGGGGGTCCAAATAACAGGACCAGGAGGAGGAGCTTCTGATGAAGCAGTGTGAGGAGGAAACGCAGCATCTTACCAAGGACTCGCATCAGGATGACTTTAACATCCATCAGAATGAGTCATAAATCTGCATAAATGTTTGCTGTATTAAAGCAAAACGAGCTTCGATCCTCCCTCCGGATGCACGGAGGACTGATGAGTTGTGTGGGATTATATATCCACAGACATCAAAAACCACTGCAAGTAGTTAAAGAAGGGCAAGAAACTCCATTAAAAAAACAGAAAATGACCACGATTCCTCCTACATTCACTTTAATATTAGGATTACAGTCTGATATTTGAAATAAGCCCTTCATTCTCCCACTAAGTTTAACGTTTTCTGTTTTCTCCTCTTCCACTCACTCGGACACACAGTTTGTAAGTCCATCTTTGTGTCTCTGTGTGCAGTGTTTGTGCCGTAGTGTTAGCACAGCTGCCAATGAGAACTTTACACACAAAGAAAAATAATATACTCTGAAAAGTGGATCTGCTGCTTTCAGCTCCACAT